TTTTGAAGGCTTTTCAAGTTTGTAGGGTACTATTTATTTGGACATAATTTGAACGAGGTTGGAGAAACTTTAAGATAAGTGTATAGAGCTGAATAAAAGGAGATTATAGCAAAATAAATCAAATTTATCACAACAAATTGTGTTATTCTATATTCTTCTAAGGTCTTATTGAACCATGCTTGTACTAAATACCTTATTGATGTATGAGAATTTTTTGTTTCAACTGCTTCTGTTGACAGGGGCTTTTCCATTTGTCTTAAAATTATTGTTGTTTCAGTACTTACCAAATGTAAAAACTATGACATATTCAGAAAAATTATAGTTATGGTGTCAAAAAATATAGCCTACATTTCCTAAAAAACAAAAGCAAATTTTTGGGCACCTCTCGAGTTAAAATGCTGGTTAAATACTGTTAATTCAGGAGGGTTATGCGACATAGGCTTGGGGGCAATGGACACGGCCCTGGTTTTATAAGTATTAAATTTAAGTAAATGGCAAAACTTACCATTAGTTAGTTCTCTTCAATCTTAGTCTTTACTTCGCCCCATCCTCGATCTCCTCTTCCTCTGGCACCTCTCCCCTGTATTCTCCAATGTCGGAGGATATTAATTACAACGCCCCCATTTTACTGGTAGGCTTCAGTTCTGTACAGAAATATTGCAAAAAATAGTGTTATACAAATAATTTTAGTCCAACAAATAATACAAGTGTGTACACTCCTTTCTATATTTGCGATATTCAAATAGGTACAGCTAATAGGAAAATGTTTGAGCAAATCTGGGTCAAGTTAGTACAAATATTAGAATTTGTAACAATAATTTGGTTTAGACCAAATAAATTGGTTTAACTTGTTCGCTACCACAATTATATGGAATTTTCGTTCGCATAGACCACCGACGCATATTTGCGTCAGCTGATCACATTGAAATAGACTAACGACGCACACTTGCGTCGGTGTTCAATGTTATTAATCAGCGTATTTCTTAGCAACGGTCTATTTTAAAGCCCTGATTTTATCGTATCGGTCTAGATGGATATCTGCCGCAAATGTGCGTCGCTTGGTCTGTGGATATGACGATTGGTTACGTCACACAACAGTTGGCAACATTGTTGTTTACATTGTGCATTCCGCGACATCTCAGAACAGATGTAAACGTTATAAACCTTTGCAGTTTTGGCGAGTGGTGGAGTTTCTTTATTTGTTTGTGTAAAAGCTTGAAACAACCAAATTTACAACGACGCTTAAACGTGTGTCGCCTGGTCTATTGAAACGAAAATGTAGGTAATCTTTTTATCTAGATTTCATTAAATAAACTGACCGACGCATATATGCAGCGTTTTGAAAGTTGCTCCAAACGATAAATAAAAACAATATTTATTGCTTACTTATTCACTTAAGGTTAATATGAAGTCAATTCGTCCATTTAAACGATATTTCTCTTTTGGTCTGTTGGCAATGTTATTCCTATATCACTTGGTCTGTAAGCAATGTCATGATCATTCCTTTTGGTCTGTAGGAGTGACCGGACCAACGCATATGTGCGTCGCCACAGAAAACGTACTACTATACCCAGAATGCCAACCGCATGGTAAAAAGCATTAAGCGGTTTGAGAGAGCTTTGCCTGTCAATCCGTAGGCAGCGCCACCAGCGTTGCTATGCTATTGCATAGTAGTACGTTTTCTGTGGCGTCGCTCGGTAGCGAACGTGTTAAACATTAATTATTTGTTATTTCCCAATTTGCAAAAATGCAAGCTCTAGCCTAATTAAGACATTTCCAAACAACATGTTTCGAGATGTATCCAAATACATTTTACAGTAAGTAGGGGCCTAGTTTTAATTTTTTATAAAAAAAACTATAAATTTGCATAAAGATTATAATTAATTATCCTTATGTTCCACCAAAAACTATTAATAATAGTTTATTTGTGTAGGTAACTAGTGGGCGAAGTGGCACTTTGCTACACATAAGAGAAATGTTTACGCACAAGCCGTAGGCAAGTGTGGAAAGTTTCTCGAGTGCAGCAAAGGCAGTTTGCACTTGTGTTACACATTATATTTTCCCTAAAGTTACCATAAAACATATAAATAATTAGTTGTTCAAACTCTGTTCAACACTAAATGAAATGATTCAGTTTGGATCAGTTTCTATGGTTGTCGATAATATGGAACCCACCCAAATATGGACAGTAAGTTTAGGCCTAGGACATAAAAATGTTCTTTCCATTTATGATAACCCAACCTAACATAACCGCCGCAAAGCGCTGTATAGCCTATCTGTAGCCTCCGGATAATACTTACCAAAGTACCGATTTGAACATTGAATAACTTAGTTAACAAACATAGCCTAGAATCTATCACAAAGGGGAAAGAATGTTCACCTCACTTAAGTTATGGTTAGACCAAGTAACATTATCACGGCAGTATGGTAATTGCCTCCAGGGTCCACAACTCTGGTCTCTCTTTCTCTCTCATCTGCAGTGATGTCGATGGCAATGTCGTCCAGAAAGGTTAGTCCTCTTAACTTATTGGTTCAAGACAATATTTAAAATAGAGACCAATTTGGGTTCAGGTCAAATTACAGCCTTTGCTCCCGGATCATCTATAAAATTAACATTGATGTCATCAGCAATGAATTATATAATCCAAGTCTAGTCTTACGCCAAATACAAACAGCTCTAGAATATTTGACAGCACATAATTTTACGTCCTACACTCATTCCAATGAATATATTTCTTTAATACTTTCTTACTTATTACTTGGCGACCATACAAAGTATAGTCTGATTTTTACCGGAGTGCGGCTGGAGCTCAGCCCTACCTGTGAGGGACCCGACTCACGCACGCACACTCGCCACCGTCCTAATTGCCTGAAAGCCCCGATCCCCTATTCACTAAGTAGAAATATAAGATCTGTTGTATGATACCTCAAAATTGCAATTCATTTGATTTTAGATATACAGTAAAATGGTTAGTGTTAATAAATTTGTTGTTTAATTCAATGAAAAATGAGTCCAAACACGAAATGATTATGACAAGTAGCTAGCTAATAAAAACGTGTTAAAATATTCGTAGCTTTTACACTTTGTAAGCAAAATATATATTGTTTGGTAGGTATCATTTTACTAAGCATTTTGAGCTGAAGTCAAAATCGTTACCACATTTTATAACAAACGTAAAATTAAAAAAAATTATAGTTCAATTTCCGTGAGCCAGCGATGACTCGTGCGGCAGGACAATGGTCCGTCCCACGTCCGTCCTAATCCCTTGCGTCTGTGTGTGTGAGGCCTGCGTGTGTGAGAGTATGGTCGACCCTTCAGCCAGCCGCTTTCCGTCAACAATCACACTATAGGTACCGTATTTTAAGCCAAGTATGAATGGAAATGAGTGTAGGATCAGGATGAGTGGCGCGATCTTGTAGTCTTGTTAGTGACTAAGGCCGACATTCCTTAGACACAGCTGTTAATTAATAGCCCATACAGCTAATGGCAACTAAGGGACCTACGGTTTATAGTGGAATCCGAACCACATTATTGCCTTGGTATATACGAATTGGTCTAATTATCAGGATAGTACTGCGGATAGTCGTAGTACTCACTCGTGCGGACGTTAATCCACACCAGGGAGTATCGCATCCACAGTGCATGCCTATAAATATCCACAATTCGTGACCTCCTAGTAGTTGGATTACAGGACGACGCCACCCGTCCCAGTCATATTGATTATTTCATTCAATAAACTTAGGCCTATATCAATTTTGGGTAATGTTAGGGTAAAACTTAACCTAACTAACGGAATGAAATATTCAAAATATTAAATAGTCTTGTATTAATATCTTTCATTTGAATGAATGTAGGACATAAACTAAAGTGCAGCCAAATATTTTTACATAAACAAATTTTTAAAGTTGACACTGGGTCAGTGGGAAAAAGAGACAATCCTAATAGCCTAGGGATAGTGCCTATTCAAACATTTGCTACAATATTGCTTGATGATCCAGAATAAGAATTAGCCTACGAATAAGCTGTATCTTAGGTTCTTGTTGGTGACTTACCTAAGTTAGTGTCTGGTAGGACTACTTAATGTTATTAAGTTATCACGTTGATTACGTTATTTACCAAATAAAAATTAACTTATTTCACATTATTCCTTAAAAACTATTGTTTGTAACACTCGAGTCATCTATTTTCTTGTAAACAAGGAAAGAAATAAAAAAGATAAATATTTACAATATAAAAGTTTTTAGTCAATAAATGGCCAGCTTGAAGATGTCCGTCGGAATTCGGAATCAAATATTGCGACTCGTGAGTTGAGGAACTGAACGATGAATTAGAACAACTCCTTTTCAAGAGTAGCTCCGAAGAACGGGTGCTTGTCGATATACTGGGACTATTTCAGTGTCGACAAAATGAAACTATTTCATTGTCGACAATATGGGATGTCGACAATTTGTGGTGTCGATCATTTGCGACGTCGGTTATTTGGGATGTCGGTTAAGTGGGAATATTCCAGTGTCGACAAACTGGGAATAATTCAGTTTCGATCAATTTCTACGGTTGTCGATATTATGGAACCCACCCGTCGGGGTTACAGTGGGTTACATCGTCGATGGTATGTCCAACAAGTCCAACGAGATTATACACTATGCAATTATACACTTATGATCGATATAAAACAGCTATCGTTTTAAAAGTATCAGCATCAGCCTCGATTCTGGATCTCGAACCACAACATCCCGAACTGGATCCCGAACTGCTTGTATACTATCACGGCCGCCTTTAATTCCGGCGGCCGTGATACTATCGTATTCGTTTCGTAATTCGTAGTCGTATAGTTCCCGTTCGTAGTCGAGACTTAAGTAATAAGTATTCGTAGTCGGTAGTCGGTAGTAGTTCAATCGAGTCGAGAATCGAGACCGCTTGCTACGCTACCTGCTTGCTTGCTACTCTGCTCTGCTGCTAGACAGACGGCAACGGCAACTACTGCAATACAGCAACTCGAACTCAGCAAGAAAATACCAAGATAAGACTTGTATTGTTTAGAAAATTGGGATCTTACTATTTATCGCCGAAACTAACCATCGGTCATATCCCACGGCAATCATATTTGCATAGCCAATTTATAGGTAAACTATATTTAAATTTGTAAAATAGTAAATTTCTATGTTTATTTTTTGTTGCCGCTAGTCCTGAGAAATCAATTGATTGCTCTCCCTGTGTCACTGTCAGAGTCGGATGTAAACAGCGTTCTTTGATTTAGATACGATACGAGTGCCGGGCTTTAATGCTATTTACTTGTTGTTTTCAGGATGAATAGACCTTCAACAGAATCTATTGTCAAGGAATCACTCTTTAAATTCATGCAGAAGAATTTACCAACAGAACAAATAAGGTAGGACTATGAACCTTATACTAAATTCCCTTAGGCCTAGGCCTGCCTAACTTAAGTGCTAAACTTACTGACCTTTCAACTTATCACTGTTAACTCTACTCTTGGTAGGCTATAATTCACCCACTTGTATAATGTAGATTGAAGTTATTCTCACACTATGAATTACAAGTTTAACATGAACCAGCTTTTTAAGACCTGTAAGTTAGCTCATCACATTACATTGTAATCTAGGTTTTAGCCTACCCACCATTGTCAAAGTGTAGCCTACTCTAGACCTTTGTATTTACTGGTCCTTCCTGTGTTAAAAACTTTTGGGTAAGTAGCCTACATACTAAGTTAACTCTTGTGGTTTTTCACTGGGAATAATTAAAACCATACTTGGAGAAATAGCCTCTGGATTGTTATTAAACAATTTTATATTTTAAGGCTTACCTTTTGATCTAATTGGTTTATTGTGGAGACCTAGCCTAGGTTTCTACGGCAGAGCATTATCGTCAGTCTTAGGCTAAGTTAAACTTTATATTTTTATCTCTTATTTGAGATAGGCTATTGTCAGTTGGATAGAATTTGTTCAAATAATACAAACACCGAATATACATAAATATTTACAATAATTCTCTTACAATACATTATCTTCTCAATCCTAACCTCCAAAGTTGGGACGTGATAATGATGACTTTAACCTGCTTTAACTTACCGTACTTCTAGCATGGTTGTTAATCCTAATGAAGTGATCCTGTGTTCTTTCAAGCATCTGGATGTGACTAACTTGAAACGGAGACCATATAACAAATCAAATCAAATCAAATCAAAGCTTTATTTTCCAATAGACATTACAAATGCATGTGGAATGGTCAATGAAGGTATTATGTTGGTAAACATTTGTCAAGGAAGAGTACAATAGATGTAGAGTACAAGGTCAAATCAAAATATACAAAGATAATATAAAATACATGCAGATGAGGATAACTATAAGAGAAAAAAAGTACAATCATTACTCAGTATTTAATGGTTTAGGAAATTCTAAAAAATCGTTAAGTTTGTAGAACGGATTCTTAACTAGCCACATATGAATTTTAGCTTTAAAAACTTTGTAAAGAAGTGATAGCTATTTGTTGGGCAATTTATTTAGACATTTTAGGCCCAGAATTTTATGACTTTTCTTTGTTTTGCTCAGTCTAACATGGGGTATATCAAATTGATGTCTGTTTCTAGTTTGAAAATAATGAAAATCACTCCTTATGGCATGTGAGTCCATTTCCTTAAAACTAGTTAACATGATATTAAATATATATAAATTAATAACGGTTAAAATATTAAATTCAATAAAAATGGGGCGACAATGTTCCTCAGGATCAACCCTAGCCATTATGCGCAGGACCTTTTTTTGTAATATTAAGACATCGGAGACATGAGAACTATTACCCGAAAAAATGATACCATAGTTCAAGGCAGACTGAAATAAAGCAAAGTAAACTGATCTTAAATAACTAATAGGAACTAAATCATTAAGCTTACGAAAAAGGCAGATCATTCTACTTAACCTAGTACAGAGTTGCGTTATATGATCAGACCAAGTCAGTTGTTTGTCAATATGGACACCTAGAAACTTTACCACATTGGACAGTTCAGCTTCAAGTGGGCCTATATCATGTAGAGGTCTAAGGCAAAATATCAATGATTGTGTTTTGTCTTTATTCAAAAGAAAACTATTAGCTGAAAACCACTCAGCAGCAGTATTGACTGTGTTTCTGACAGTTGACTTAAGATGCAAAAGGTCACTGTGACAAGATAGCAAGGTAGTATCATCCACATAGAGATAGGAATTGCAACTAAGATTCATAGGCAGATCATTTATAGCAATTAAAAACAGAAGGGGGCCCAAGACGGAGCCTTGAGGTACCCCACAGTTGCTGAGGGCGATGGAGGACCATTCACCATCAGCGTATACCGCCTGTCTACGATTTGCTAAATAAGACCACAAAAGATTTAGAGCACTGTTTCTGATTCCATAAAACTCCAACTTATGCAGCAAGATCTCATGGTCAACACAATCAAAGGCCTTGCTAAGATCAATGAAGGTGGCCCAGGCAAAATCTTTATTTTCAAAAGCCCTGTGAATGTCCTGAACCATGGCATCAATTGCATCCACAGTGGACTGTCCAACTCTAAAGCCAAATTGTTGTTTGTTAAAGAGAGAATTATTTTCAAAAAAGCTGTTAATCTGATTGTGAATAATATGTTCTAGAACCTTGGACAGAACAGGTACTAGACTAATAGGCCGATAGTTTCCTGGGCAGTTTTTATCCCCTTTTTTGAAAATTGGACAAATTTTGGAAATTTTGAGACAATCAGGAAAGAATCCCCCCTGTAGACAGGCGTTTACACAGTAAGTCAATGGTGAAATGATTACATCAACAATTTCTTTAATGAACCAGTTGGAGATATCATAGATATCTTTGGATTTGGTATTTTTCATTTTAGTTATGACTGACATAACCTCACTACAAGTGACCAAAGAAAAGTGAAACTCTGAATTGTTGAAAGGAACTTTTTGTAAGAAATTATCATAAGTATTTGCAGGTTTCTTAATACTGTTTCTAATACTGTTAACAGAGTTAATAAAAAACTATTTAGTTTATTTGGATGAAATGGAAGCTTATTACCGCTTCCGAGAGATTGGGAATTTTCTTTTACAATTGCCCAGGCTGATTTACATTTGTTGCTGGAGTTTTCAATGAATAGGGCATTATAATTGAGCTTGGCCTCCTTTACTGCCCGTTTGTAGTTCTTAACTAGGGTCTTATACTCTAACTTACAAGGATTGTCACTACTTACACAGGTCAGATCATAGGCATGTCTTACCGGCTGCCTGAGCCTGTCAAGATCAGGAGTGTACCAGGCACGTGACCGTTTCCCTTTTGGGTTTGGTTTTGAGCGAGACTAACAGACCCATATTTCAAGTTAGTTTGTAGACTCCCTTACCCTCGAAGCTGTCTGTAGTTGTGGGTTGCTTTTTGCTTAACAAGCTTCCGAGGTTTTGTTTGTTGATCTCCAAGCAACTTTGAGTCCCTGTTCTTCTAGAATTTTATGGAAGGAGTTGTTTATCTTTCCGTGGTTAGTTGTGGTCACAAATTCTTTGTTAGTTTTGGCCTCTTAGTTTCTTTTCTTTTTTGTTTTATTACTATCTTTGTGAAAAGGGATGGGTGATAGCCATTATTAACAGCTATTTGCTTAGCAATGTTCATCTCCTGTTTGTAGTTCTCTTAAGTAAGTGGGACAGTTTTGAGCCTATATACATATACCATACTATGGAATGCTGCAAGTTTATGGTGTGTTGGGTGGTTTGATTGGGCGTTGATTACTTGGTCTGTAGTAGTTGGTTTTCTCTTTGTATATAAACACTTAAATCTTTGTCAAAAAACATTGTTCTATTTTTGAAGAAAAAAGAACTAAGTTAACTCTCAATACAGCTTTAGGCCCATGAGCTCCGTGTTATGCTACAATACCCCATACATAAATCTGCCGCTTATGAAAAGAGTACAATAAGCTTCCTTTATCACTGAAAGAGGTGGAATCATTCAAAAAGTATCAGTTTCACTTACTGTCTTACCTGTTAGACAATTGTTTTTACAGAATTGAGGATTTTTTATCAGTCTCATTGTTGTAGGCTAGTCATAGGCTAACTTATTGGTATTGGCATAACTTTGTTAATAACCTAACTTATTTTATACTTGTTGTTTTTATTCTATAGGCCTACTAGTACACAATGTTTCTTTTGACAATTTTCCTGCCTGCATGCAGAAGCACTTCTTAGGCGTTATGTGATGTATTTTCTTTTAATACCGGTTTAAGCTTAAATAGGCTAAGTAAAATGTTGAAGATGTAATCGTTTTTTGTTCTGGCGGTAGTTGAGTATAGTTAAGGGATGTTTCAGATTCTATTTTTACAGGTGAACTTAAGTTTTGGGTGGACGTTGTTCATATATTTCAGTAGGAAAAAAATATATGTGGAAAAAAATGTCAAACTTTTGGGAATCTGGCTTAATTCTTCTCTCTCTTGGTCTTCCCATATTGAATCCCTGTGTGTTAGGCTCAACAGGGTAATTAATCTGTTAAGAAAACTTAGAAATCTTGTTCCTAAGCCATATCTGAAAATATCTTATTATGCTTTTTTTAATGGCATCTTGAGTTATGGTCTGTTATTGTGGGGAAATGGAGCAGATGTCAAAAAACTTCTTGTGCTACAGAAAAAGGCCGTTAGGATTGTAAGTGGTGCGCCCTTGGATGCACATTGCAGGCCTCTGTTTCAGTCTGAACAAATACTGACTATTGTAAATATGTATATATTTGTCTGCTTGGTACGAGTTAAAACAAAACTAGAGAGTTACGCGTGTAGAAGCTCGGTGCACTTGCATGTGACCAGAAACAGTAATCTGCTAGATGTACCTTTTGTGAGACTATCCAAATCAAAAAAGTGGTTTAGTAATGTAGGAATATCAATGTTTAATAAACTTCCTAGCACAGCACGTAATGTTAGCATGAGTAGGTTTAAGCATGTTTTGCATGAGTGGCTTGCTCAAAGGCCCTTTTATAGCCTAGAGAGTTATTTTCAGGAAGATTTTAGTAGTATGTTATTTTGACATGCCAACAATTACTCAATGCCTGTAATTATCTTATTTATTTGCATGTTGAGTATGACCATATGATCTGTATGAACAATTGTTGACCTTTTACTGTCTTGTTTCTGATAGGCTCGATGCTTGCATATCTACATTTTTTTTATCTATTGTGACTGCCCAGACAAATGTTTTGTCTATTTATGTTTGACCGGTATCTAGTTTTATTTTCTTGGTTAAACTTGAACCTCATTTGTTGTTGACTTTGTCATATGCATGTACCTTGCAAATTACGGCAATAAAAAGTTTCTGATTTCTAGGACTACGAGCTGTCTTTTATTGCCTTGGAATGCAAGTACGATGTCGTCAGCAAATCTGTGAT